TGAGGGGAGGGGTCAAAACACAAATTAAAGTACTTTTACCTTTGCAACTGCAGTCAGTCGTGGACAAGGGAGTCGCTTCCATTGGACCAGGGGGTGGGGGTTGGAAGTTATGCAACTAAATGGAATTTTACTTTTTACATTTTTTAGAAAATCTGGTGGAGTAGAAAGTACAGATAATTGTTTTAAGGTGGCCCTTCCACTGAAAAAAAATATATATATACATTTTTACTCATTCGTTTTGAAGATGATCCTTTGATATGTCTGTGCGTATTCATAAAACTCAAAAAGCAAAACAAAAAATTACACTTTAAAAAAGGAAATGTTGAATTTACTTAACCAGTTTTTGTCAGCTGGTTCCACTAAACCTAGTTGCTCAAATGTGAAGAGTAATATACTTTTACTTTAATGATAACAATGTATACTGCACTTTACATTTAAGCAACATGTTTGAATCGGCTGATTTAACTTGTTAAATTTCTTTTTTTCCAGTGTATGCATGCTAAAACTGCTGAAACTTCTTTTTCATTGGTGCAAAAACCACATGTTTATCAAAATTATGCACTTTATTGTTTCATTAGGACATTAATCAGGAATCATTAAATTATTAAAGGGTGTTTTTATTAACACGACACAATGCCGTTTCAAATTTCATGTCTTATTTTTATCACCAGCTCCATTATTAAGGATTTAAGAAACTGCCTGATTATCACCAATCTCCTCTTTCAATTGGTCGAATTTTATTCAACAGCTTTTATCCTAGATGTGACTTGTTTTTTTAATAATTATTATTGTTATTATTTTTCACGTGACTCAGGTGCGTTTGAGAAAGGATGAAGTGCTGCAGTTTATCTTCATTGTACAGTCAGGAAGACACAAACCCACTTAGCAGAGTGGTTTGTGAGCAGTCATTTGCAGACACAGACGTCGTAATTGGCTTTGGACCGGCTCCAACTCTGTTTTGTTTGTGGCTGTGCCTGCCCTACTTTATCTCTGTGCTGAAGAAAACGAAAAGACTTGTAGTGACAGAAAACTGCAAACAGATTCATGTCAATAATGTTTAATACATTAAAATATCCGCTTGTCTCCTCGTGCTCTGAATCGACCAGTGACAATGAAACTTTGCAGAATCTCAGTCAGTTTCATTTTGCAAGCACCTGTTGAATGCAGAGGGACTCTGTGGATTGATTAATTCAAATCAAGTATGAAATCGTCATAGATAAGACCCATTATTCACAAACTGCAGGGGAAACAGCCATATGAGCTTTCAAGCACATGCAGCAGAAACACTTTTTTTCAAAATTGAGCAAAAATCTGCAGCATTTATGTAAATTAAAATTCTGAAAGCAACCATCTCTGCAGAGTGGTTTTCTTCAGTGTGCAAAACGTCGTCTTTATTATTTATTTGCAATTTTCATAACAGAATCAGAATTGCTTTATGTGTTGCTCAGATCTGAGTGTTGCACTGCATGGCACTGCCTGCAGCTGAATCTGAAAACAGCGCCATCTAGGGTTCACGTGATGCCATAGCTACAATCCTCGCCGCAGATGGAAGATAAATCTGAGGAAATAATCTTCATTATGATGAATTGTAGCCGGACTTTTGCAGAAATTATGAGCCCAAAAAGAAAAAGGATGCAGAAATCACTCAATTGAAGAGGGTTACACCTCTTATTCTTAAAGTCAAAGCAATAATCTGAAAAACAGACACTCACTTTACTGTAAAGAGTGTGAAAACTACATCCTGTGAGTGGGATTTCTATATGCATGTAGAGTGGGGATTTGCTTCTGTTTGAACGTGACAGTGAAGTGCTTTGCTGGGCTGCCTCCAAAATACATGAGCACTGAGAGGGCTGTCCTGGAAAAGAGTGCGGAGGCATGAGGCCTGCAGGTCTAGTGGTGATTCCTCAAACTTTTTCTCACTCATGCTGTCTTATATGGGCATTTGTTTATATAACTGTGCCTGCAGCAGCCCACGCCTCCTTCGCAAATGAGCAGCAGCTAGCCAGAACCAAGTTCACGTCTAAAAGTGCAACATTTCAGGCTTTTTGTTTGCAAAAGGAAAGTCTTTAATGAGGTTTTTGTTCACATAATCATACAAACAGCTGATTAGCCGCTCTGCTTGATGGACAAGGGGTTTGATAACTTTTTGTAAGGGCAAACGCAGACGCCATCTACTTGTTTTGTTTTTGCCTGGTGTTTATCCATCAGCTGTTTTTCCGTTAACCTCATTATTTCTCAGGTTATTTGTGCCCGCTGTCCCGATAATGATGGAGGGAAGCAGTTGAACATTTACCTAACCCTTCTCAACTTCTCACCCGCTGGTTGATTTTTCGATTTCTCAGCTGGGCATCATTCGGGATCATCCACGGAGATGTTCTCGACTCTAATTTGAAAAAAAGTGAAAAATCATTAGATTTATTGAATCAATTATTCTTATAAGGCGAGCAATAAAAGTTTCTCAAAAAATCCCCTTCAGTAACAAACCACGTGTTTATCTATCACTTAAAAGCAGATCAGTAACAAGGTTAGAGTTAGCTGGAGAAGATTGTAATTACAGTATGAATGATGGGTTTTAACAGCTGTAATCTACGGTATATGACACAACAGACTTGTGTGGGAACAAATCACAGAGTGTGACAAACGGCCCCTGAGTGCGTAGTAATCTGTTTTATTGTGCAGCGATGTACAGGAGTTTGTTTTGCGGTGACACATTTCACTCGTACGCATGTGTGTGGAGAAAAAAAACAGGTTTCTGTTGTTTTTGCTCAGGATACAGACGTCATGGGCCTGCTTCGCTGACATCAGTCCAAACAACAAACACAATTTTACCGCAGGTGCTCCCCCAACTCTCTGAAATGTGATTACGAGAAGCTCAGCAGGGAGATGTGGCTTTCCAGAGAACTGGAGGACACGGTCAGAGTGGGGAGCTAGTTTGAATTAGAAAAATCTTTAGCAAAAACTGGTTTTGTGATATAAAATATTAAAATAGAAATTTATTCCTTTTTTTCTTTCAAGATATGATTAAAAAATAGGAAAAAAAATAAAAGCAGTTTTTAAATGGGTTAGGGTTTTGAAATTATTTGTATTTTTCATTAATTTGATGCAATGCACATTACATTTGTGTGTGAATGTGTGTGTGCATGGGTGAATGTGTGATGAAGACCCTTGGGGGTTGTAGAACCCTAGAAGGTGCTATACAAATACAGGCCATTTGCCATCATTTAATATGTGGTATAATAGAACAATCATTATGAAAATAAAATAAAACCATACTTTTTAACACTCCCCACCCACCCCCTTTCTAAAAAGTATGGTTTAGTGCTTAAGATCAGCACATGTCTCATAAAATATAGGAACTGAAATGTGATGAATCGGTTGAGATGCAGGTTTATGGGATAAATTTGAGCCTTTAAATGGTTTATAAAAGATAAAATATTAAAAATCATATTAGTCGACATTTCAAACCATTTTATCACATCAGAACCATACACAGCAGATTAGTTCAATATATATTTGAGATTAAAATTTGAACATAATCAACCTATTTACCTTCTACTCACCTGAAGACAGGCCTGTTGCAACAAGACTATTGTCTAGAGGCCCACCGGCCAGCTTGGGGCCTCCAGACGAAGACTGGTTATGAAATAAAGACAAACTGTGTAAACTTGTTTGTCTGCACTTTTCAATATTCCTGTTTTTATGGGATGATGGTGAGTTCCTAGCCAGTGTTCAAATATAAACATTACCAACATTAGTATTCAACACATTCTCACACCCTAAGCATCGAAAAAGGCTGCGGGGTGACCAAGCATTTGTTTCTGAGAATGTGTATTATACAAGATATGTAAAGAGAATCTGCAATGTCCTGAAAACATTTTATTCATATAAAGTTTGGGCGAACCTCAACCGTGTGTGCTGTGGTTTATTTGAGTGCTCAGGGTGGCTGGGGGCTCCAATTTCATTTCCCCTTGGGCCCCCAAATGCCTTCAACCAGCCCTGCCATGTGATTAAAGCAGTCCCAGTTCTCTTTAAATGGACCTAAAAGGAAATTAAGTGAACTGAGTCATGGATCCCCCCCCCCCCCCCCCCCCCAAACACTGACTCCTCACTCCTACAACTCCTGAGTAAACTCAGGAACAATATTGGAAACCAAAAAAGGAACACCACGTGATGAGCTGCAGTTTAAGCCATGTTTAACACTTCCTGACTCATGCTCACTGGTCACTCACTCGGTTTTTTTTTTGTCTCACTTTTGGAGCTTTGCTAGAGAACTTATTGCACCAACAGTCAGACACCCACGTCAGGTTATCCCTGCTCACACTTCGAGAACTACCCAGATCCGCCCACAATCCCCTGAGAGAGGAACCAGAGAGAGCCTGAAAGGGGAAGGAGGGAGGGAGAGACGGCTGTTCCTGTGTGCACGTGTTTGTGTGTGTGACAGTGTGTGTTTCTGGGATGGACAAAAGGACAGACAAGCATTACCTGTCTGCTTCTCATCAACACTTTTAAGTGGTTCACATGTTTCTGCACAGATTAATAAACAATAATGATATATTTAAATAAAAGCTTGTAAAAATACAGCGCATGTCTAAAATGAATCTAAGCACGCTTAAAGAACAAAAAGGTGTCTTTATTGATGTTTTATTGTCCTTGGAGAGTGTCGCATCACTACCGTGACCATCCTCCTCTCTGCTCACACACCACTGATCCTCTTTCCGGTACCTTTTGGCTGTGCGTTCATATCTGCGTAGTTTGCTGCTCGTAATCGTTTGTCTCCCTGCACCGATCCCTCTCCGCCCTCCCTCACTGCGCTGACACACTCGCTCTCTCACACTTCCACGGGCACGCGCGCGCTCACACAAACGCGTCTCCTCCGCACACACGCTCTCCATCCCCCCCGCCCCTCGCGTCTTGGCGCTGGCTCATTCACTCCGGTACTCCGTCCACGCACCGACTCCGACTTGAATCTGGGGGGGGCGGGGTTGGATAAATACCACCGAGAGGAGGCCACGAGCCACACTCAGACTGGACCCACTTGCAGTGCAAAAAGATCACAAGCAAGAAGACTCCGAAGCCGGGAGTAGAAGTACCAACATTTCTTCTGGAGCTTAGAGAGAAAAGCCTTTCCTTTGGTTCTTTCACGGACTTTCTGCTGGAGCTCCAATTTCATCGATTTGTCCCTCCGCTATAAGCCAGTTTCCTCTGGAAATAGCAGCCAAACAAAGTTGGTAGTAAACTCTTTGGAGTTTGGTTAGAGTCGCATTATTATTTCTTTGCTTGTGAGAGTGGACTGCACTGAAACTTGGGATCGACCCGACCGTCTCCTTTTGTCGGGGGTCGCGGGTTTGGATCTGGCGCATCCTTTCGCATCACTGCGAAAGTTTTTGGCCAGAGCGCAGATCTGAAGACTTTGAGTCGAGTCAGAGTTTGAGACAAACTCAGCAGCTGCTGCCGTCGAGTCCTGGTCCGAGACACGCGGTCAGAGAGCCACTGACAAGACGTCAAAGAAGACTTTTCAAGGTGAGACGAACTTTTATTTCCCTCCTGGGTGGCTCCTCTGTTTGGTGAGAGTGAAATGTGAACCCTAGAAGTGATCTTTGCTTGTTTTCGAGTTCGTTTTCAGCTTATTTGATGAGTTGCAGTAACTTGTCGCTGTCCGCGGTGCTGAAACTCTCTCAGCTTTCCTGTATTCCTCTGAGACGTTCATACCAGACGCCTTTGCTGCTTTCCTTCATTTCAGCTCCTGCCTTTCCATCCTCCTCCTGTTTTTCTCTCTTTTCTGGAGTCATTTGAAAGTTATTGAACCACATAAAGGCTTGAGTTTGCTGTTACTACTAACACATAAGCAACAAAAAGTTTTACAAAAGCTGCAAAAACTTTTTGTTGTGCTTTTTTTGTCTAAATATCATGCTTGTGGAACAAAATGAACATGCAATGCAAAAATCTTAAAGTTTAAAGAAATAATATTTGCTTTAGTCAACATTTTAACCAACTTCCAAACAAAAAGCAAAAGATGAACAGTTGAACAAATGTTTTAAATTTCCCTTTTGTGGCAGCTGCTATGATCTGTCTTGTTTTGCAGATTTTCTTTGGAACAGATTGGCAGCAAAACCTTAGAGAGGTCTAGTTTCTTGCACGTGTGTGGAAGTTGTAGCTCTGGGCACAGCAAATGGAAAAGGTCTGCAGCGGCTACACAAAATGCATTTCTCAATTTTGCACAAGTCAAATGCTTGCAAGGACAGAATAAGACCCAAAATGTCTCATAACCCTTCTTATTTATATGTTTCCTTGAGTCAGTTACATTTGCAAAAAAATACGTAATTAACTTAAATGATGTGAAGATCATCTAAACATCTGCACTCCAGGTTGCTTCATTAATCTTTTGACTTAAGCAGCTGCACGCATTCATCACCAGCCAGTGACGCTGTCACATCTCTGCAAGCACCTGCACATTCCTTATTTGCTTACTTGCTTCTGCGTATACGATGAGCTCTGTAAACTTTACTGAGATGTTGAGACAAGCTCCTACAAATCTGTGCAGTTCAGCATAAATAGAGAACATGGGCACAGATGGCTAACACAGAGCGTTTGTGTGTTTCACACTAATCTGCAGAAAATAAGTCTTGTCTCCATAACAACAAACTATTGCTCTTTCAGCTGCTCGATGTGCAAAGGAAAAAAAGAAAGAGAAATGTTGTTGATGATAGCAAATGGACATGGGGGCAGGCAGGTTGGGGGGAGGGATGTGAGACACAGTGGAGAGAAAGAGTTCTCCTGCCACAGCTGGACTTTTCCTTTCACGTCATTCCTCATCAGATGCCCATTCATGGAGCTTCCGGTTGTTGAGGGTTGTGAGAGAGACAGGCGCTGACACAAAGCAGAGGTCTTTGCTGCAATGCTCAGAGAGACGAGGGGAGGGGAGAGAGGAAGGGAGGGAAGCGTGGAACATAATCATGAGTTCTCTGCATGAAAAGTGCAGGTGCTTCTCCCAGTGACACATCAGTTGTGCAGTTATAAGTCTGCACCGACCCGATATATTACTGCACAACCTGAGGGTTCTATCTAATTCCTGATCACACATCAGATTCAACAGGTTGTTCTGCAAAATGATTCTGATTGTTGCTGAGCAACATCTTTGCTTGTGCTGCTAGAAGTTTCTCCATTTTGATGTATGCAAACATTTAAACAGCTTCACTTGATACAAAAGGGGTCTGCACAATGTAGGAGGCATTTTTGTGATTTAAACTAAACATATTTGCATGATTAGTTGCCCAGAAATATATATAATATAAAGAAAGATGAGTGCACAAATCCCCTCTGCACAGTGGCAATTATGCATGCATTGGTTTGCATGCACCTTCAAATGAAAAATACGTTTGACATAATTTTTGTTTCTGCCCTCGTATTTAATGCAAAAAGCGTTCCCAAAGCAACCTAATGCATGCCGCTGCAGGATAAGTAACCCCCCCTTCTCACCATGGACACAGATGAACAAATTTTCCTGTTTACCGCCTAATAAAGAGGAGTGCATTGCACAAATAATGGCACTACCAAGCGTCTGTGTTGCTACTGGTGAAGCTTGCATGGACGTCAGACTGACGCACACAGCTAGGTGTGTGGGAGGAAAGAGCAAAAGCTTGGAGATGCCAGCTTGCTGTGAAGGACTGTAATTGCTCTGCCACAGCAATTATTTCCCGGGGAACGGGGCATTTTTGATCAGTGAACATACCCTAAAGCGTTGAGATTCAGATCTGCGGCTGATCACTGCTGCTTTAGTTCAACGATGGGTCTAATTAAGATTCATCTCATAAACACAAGGAGGGAAGAACTCGCGGTATTTGGTGAAGAAAGTCCCACTTGTATCCTGTAACTCTAACAGATTTGTACTTTGTTTTATTTTACTTTCCCACAGATCCCTCTTTGTGACCAACATGATTTATTAAAACAAAAAATAACTACAGAGGGGTTTTGAAGATAATCTGAGATCTGAAACAAGTGCAGTAACTTGCAACAAAGAAAACAAAGAATCAACTATCCAAGCCGACCCGATGGCGTGGTCAGCTCACACTGGCCCCTGTGCGGCCCTCGTTCTGCTCCTCTTCGGTTTGACCTCCTGCACCCCCTCTGGCCCAGCCTCCGCCACCTGCGCCACCCTGGAGCAGAGTCGCTTCTTTGGTGTGTTCTCCTCCACGACCACCCTGCCTTCGTCCCCATGCTCCTGGACCCTGCAGAATCCCGATCCTCGCCGCTACACCGTCTACATGAAAATCACCAAGCCCACCGACTCCTGCGTGCCCCGTCACATCAGAACCTTCCAGTTCGACTCCTTCATCGAAACCTCTCGCACCTACCTGGGCATGGAGAGCTTCGACGAGGTCGTCAGGCTGTGTGACGCTTCCACCACTGTTACTTATCTGGAGTCCAGCAAGCAGTTCCTGCAGATTCGCAAAGTGACCCCAACAAACGCTCTGGAGACCGTGGAAGAGGAGCATGGTGTCAGCGAGTTCAAGGCTGAGTTTCTGGTTGTGGGGAAGAGGAACCCAAGCATGCCTGCCTGCCAGATGTTGTGCCAGTGGCTGGAGAAATGCCTGTCAAGCAGCACCCACGACTATCCCTGTGGCATCATGAACACCCCTTGTCAGTGTTGGGAAGCACCAAAGAGGAAGCCAGGAAGCTGCTACAGGGGCGGTGTCTACGTTGAGAAATGCTCCTCAGTTCCCAAAGACAACGGACGTGATGCTGAGATTATCAGTAAGTCAAAGTAGAACAAAAAGTTTTTGAGTATTTTGTAACCTCATTTAGTAGAGCACACGCTTCGTGTTGTCCAAGCTCCCAGACTCTGCAGGTTGTTACCACACAGAGTGTGTCCTGAGAGCAGCTCTAGGTAATGATCCATGTCTGCAGGGCAGGTAGATGTGCACGGCACCCTCACAAAGTAATGAGGAGTAAATCACAGTTGATGGGGGTGTTTGGCCTAAAGTGGCATCACCTCCTGAACCTCACTTCTCCATTTTGTTTGGACCGAAGCAAAGCAGACAGCACCGTGTTTGTGTGTCAGATCTGGGGGGAGGCAGAACAGAACACAAAGACCTCACAGTCAGCTGGCAGTAGCGATCGAAGCACTTGTGGTAGTCATAGCAACGTGCCAGCCAGCCTCACACGGAGAGTACACAAAAGCAAACAACTTCAAATCAAAGAAAGGCATGCTGTTAAAGAAAATGTTACTCATGTTCTTGAAGTATAAATACTCTATCAGTAAGCCACAATAATAACTGTCTTTGTGCAGAGGGCTGGGCCGGTTGGGGCCGCTGGTCTGTGTGCAGCCAGGAGTGCGGCGGCGGAGTCCAGGTGCGCAGCCGAACCTGCCAGCCCGAGGACGACGTGTGCGCGGGAACAGTGGAGGAGGGACGCGCTTGCAACCCCCAGCCCTGCATCGGTAAGCCTCCCCACCTTTAATTAGGTCGTTAATTTAGAAACAGGGCTGCAGGCGGCACAGCTTTAATGGAATAATTGTGCAATTTTCAAATTCTCCCAGGCAAAGAGCGTATCAGGAGCCAGGGTCTGCGTGCCATTGTTGGTCTGAAGAGAGACGGCACTGATGAGTCAAACCTCGGAGCTGTTGCCCCTCAAACAGGTGAGACAACACCTGTGACTACAGCTCTAATTGAAAACAAATGAACACCTCTCTGACTTGTTTATTAATCTGTTAACAGATGCAAAGACAGACGAGTGGGCTGCCTGGAGTGCATGCTCAGTCACATGTGGAGAGGGCTGGCAGAGTCGTACCCGCCTCTGTGCCACTTCTTCCTTCAGCACCCAATGCACCGGCCCCCTGAGAGAGAACCGGCCGTGCAACAACACAGCTGTCTGCCCTGGTGAGTGTGTGAACCTCTAACACGTGCTGCACAATAGAGCCACTAATAGTTTATTTTCCAGGGATGTGTATTTTTAACATTCTGGCGATACGATACATATCACGATACAGGGGAGACGATACGAAATATCGCGATATATTGCGATACATTCAGTCAGACGTTACAAGCAATTTTTTTACTGAATTTATTGTAAGACTGTTCAATAAACAGTCCAAACTGATACATAACATGTTTAACATGAGGTATCTGAACCATGATGGAGGGGTTTACAGTTCAATGGTGGAAACAAAACCCGTTGCACACTGCTGCCAACTAGCGGGTGGCGATTGAATTGCACAAAACGAAAAGAAAATACACAAAAGTTTGCATGTAAATTCTTTCAAGAATTAGATACACGGCTTTTGAATATCAATGTAATAATCGCAGGAAAAAATATCACGATATATTGCCATATCGATATTTCAGATACACGGCTTTTGAATATCGATATAATATTGTTGGAGAAAATATCACGATATATTGCCATATCAATATTTTCTTACATCCCTATTATTTTCATTCAGCAGCAGGCATACATAAAAAGTTGACAATAAGAACATTTGCATGCTGAGATTTGAACTGAATGGGGGAAAAATGGCTTCTTTTGATTGTAAAATAGCTCAAATTTCTCTAAAAGTGCCACAAATTTATGTTTTCTCTAACAAGAACAAGACAGAAGCCTGACACTGTTTAACTAAAACCATCACCCTTTGTGTTTGTGAAGTGGACGGCGCTTGGGATGAATGGACCCCCTGGAGCTTGTGCTCCTCCACATGCGGTCGCGGTTATCGTGCACGCACGCGCACGTGCAGGCAGCCCCAGAACGGAGGGGAACCTTGCCGCGGCCCAACAAAGCAAACTAAGTTCTGCAACATCGCTGTCTGCCCAGGTGAGTCCAACCAACCGGTTGCATGAAAAAAATGTGCACTTTTCACCCGTTCATCAAAGGGATTCATTTATAATTAAATAACCTGATTGTGTCACCGTCGTCACAAAGGCAGTGGCAGGTTGCAATTACGTCCGACTCATCAGAATAAGCTCGTGTGTGGGTATTAGTCAGCTGCTTTCTAACAGCGCCGCGTGACTCACGCCGCGCTCATGGTCACTCTGAAGAAGTTTTCTCTTATTGTGCCTCCCACTCTTGTGTATAAAATGTTTGACTTTGTAGTCACAGCCACACAGTTTCATTGTCACTCTGTCCTCAGCAGAAGTAGCTGTCGTCATTAACACGACAGTGCTTTTATGTAAAGAGTTTTATTTTTTTTTATCCTATTGCTTTAGTGCATTTGCATTTTACTACCAGCAGGAGTCAGTGTTTACCACATGTGTTGATGTCTGACAGAAAGAAGATGCCAAGTCAACATTGAAAGGATTATTGTAGGGTTAGGGTTTCAGTTGAGCCAAATTAAACACCTTAGTGGACTTTAAACTTTGCATTTCACCAAGTAGGTTATGCAAAGTGTCCTCACTGGTTCTGCTTCTGACTCTCTTGTGTACTTGTTCATCTGCTGCCCTCTAGTGGACGGATCCTGGAATGAGTGGTCCACCTGGACTGCCTGCTCTGCCTCCTGCTCCAACGGAACCAGGCAGAGAACAAGGGAGTGCAACGGGCCTTCCTACGGTGGCTCTGAGTGCCACGGCAGCTGGAAGGAGTCAGCAAGCTGCTTTCTGAAAGACTGTCCTGGTAATATATATATATATATATTTAAATGTACTTTATTCCGTTTGTCTATTCAGGTGAAAGAAAAGTTAAAGGTGCAGCGTTAACGTTGCTTATTCTGTTTGTAGTTAATGGAACCTGGCATTCATGGAGCACCTGGGGCAGCTGCAGTAGGACGTGTGGTGGAGGCGTCCAGCAGAGACAGAGAGTGTGTGAAGGGCCTTTCTTTGGAGGAGAAACTTGCCCCGGTGAAACCAAAGAGCAGAAGCGCTGCAATGAGAAAAGATGTCCTGGTCAGTGGCTCCAACTCAATAAATGGCTGAAACCTCACCACCCCGGGGTAGAAAAGCTAACAGAAGAAACTCATCACATCACGTTTTATTACTTTAACCCCTCAGAGCCCCATGAGATCTGCCCTGAGAAGAATACTGGAGATGTTGTGTGGAAGAGGACTCCTGCTGGAGACGTCGCTGCTGTCACCTGCCCCGCTGATGCCTCAGGTACAGAGACACCCCGGGCGTTACTACCCCTGCATATTCAACAATTGCATCATCCATGCTAACAGGAAGTGTCCACTTTTCTTCTTCAACAGGCCTGATTCTGCGCCGCTGCACCCTTGATGCTATTGGGCTCGCCTCCTGGGAGAACCCAACTTACATCCAGTGTGTCTCGAAGAACTACGAGAACATTCAGATGCTGGTGAGTAAAAAAAAAATCTGGTGCTCAATTTCTTACTGGTTAAAAGTTTAAATTAAACAGTCGTCTTTGTGTTTTGCAGTCAAGGGACTACATCTCCAAAGCGCAGATGGGGCAAAGCATTGATGGCGTTGCCGAAGTGATTTCCCGCCTGAGATTCTCTTCTGATGAACAGGCTAAATACAGCGGCGACCTCTTGGCTGTCATGGAAACCCTGAGGAACACCACCGAACTGTACAAGGCCACCAGGCTGAGGCTGAGCAACGCTGATGTGGAGGTAAGCCCGACTTCGAGCTTTCACTTCAAAATGAGAAAAGGCTTTTGAGTCAAAGACAGCACCTCGTCTTCTCACACCTTTGCCTGCTATATTTAATGATTTGTAGAACTACGTCCAGACCATCAGCAACTTACTGAAGGAGGAACATCGCGACAAATGGGAAGAGGCACAACTGGTGAGTGATAAGAGGGTGTGAGATTGGAAAGGAGAGGGGAGGACCAAACTTTTTTTTTTTTTTTGGGATGAAGTTTTGGTTATGAAAAAAAAAGGCAAGGAGAAAATCACCCGAACTAAAAGAAGTGCAGCTAAATGAGTTTTGGATCTTTTCAACATCAAAATGAGAGATAATCTAAATTAGAAGTGCAGTTTTTTTCACTGTTTCATTGCTTAGACAGTGTTTTCGGACCACCTGTTGTTAAATTTTCCTCCACACTCTAATGACGTTGTTAATGTTCCTGCTAAAACTCATCAAGCTTCCCAAGAAATACAAGCTCCAAAAAAAAAAAGTTACACGTACGAGCCGAAATGGAGAGGCTGAGTTACCAAGGCCACTGCATGTCTGAATCAGGGAAAACCACTTCCTCCCACTCTGCAATCTGTGACTCTCCACGCCGTCCTACATACCGATGGCTGTTGTGTAGCAACGCTGAGGAGAGTACATCGCATGCGAGCACACACCTAGCGCCCACGTTGCTGCAGTTCTGCGTCAGACACACGCAAGTCAGGCAGCCCTCCCTTTCACTGAAGATGAGACAGAAAATTAAAAAAAAAACTGTAAGAATCAACAGCATGCCCATTTATGGCTGTAAGGAAGTTCTCGGGCTGCATAGCAGCAAGTAATGTGCTTTTTCTTCTCATTTTTCCCATTAAAGACTAAAAAGCTGTAATTGTGCAGTGGTAGACTGTCAAGACCTGAGCCATAAACGATTAATCGGTTTGACACTTTGATGCACAAATTAACCAGATGAATCCACACTTTTCATTATCCAGATGGGCGCCAACATGAAGGAGTTCCTCCGCCTCGTGGAGGACTTTGTGAACATGATCGGTGTGCAAATGAGCGGCTTCCAGGACATTTACGAAGTCACAGAGAATTTAGGTGAGCTCCCATTTCCTCCCGTCTCTCTCTCTCTCTCTGCTGGGGTCAGCATGATGTGTCCTTCCTGCAGAGTTCATCCATCTTAATCTGAGGCCGCATAAGCAGCAGCTGAATGCATCAGTTATCATTCTGACAGATTGTCAAGTCCATCAGCTGTGCTGCTTGTTCCATCTCTGGGACGTTTTCGCAAGTCTATTTGGCAGAACAGAGCCGACGTATGGCTTTGTCGTGAACTTATTAATCTGTCAGATGCTGTAAGAATAATTGAGTGTGAAACGTAAAGTGTCACGCGCTCGATAACTCCATCTTCTGGGAGTTTGTTGGACTGAATCTGCCTCTAACAAAAAAAAACCTTTGTGCTTCTTTCTTCCTCTCAGTGCTGAGCGTCCACAAACGTCCAACATCTACAAGCTCCAACTTCACCTTTCCTGTGAAGGGATGGAGAGGTATGCTGGACTGGGTCAGAAGCTCCGAGGAGAAGATTTCTGTGTCCAGGGAGGCTCTGTCCCTCAAACAGTCAGGTAATTTAGATCTTCCTTAAAGGAGAAATCTGGATGTTTTTCTAACAGGGCTCCATCTAGAGGTGGAAATGTGTATTGCACTTGAAGGGTAACTGTGTTTTTCTTTCTCAGAGGGCAACGACGCTTTTGTGACCGGAATCGTCCTCTACAGAAACCTTGCTTCAATCATGTCCCTCCAGAGGTAACGCGGTTTTTCTGCTTCTTCAAAACAAATCCTCCGGACACAAGGCGGCGCTCATTCTTGCAGAACCAAACATAACTGTACTCTTTTCTTCAACAGTAACACCACCATGCTTAACTCTAAGGTGGTGTCGGTGATTGTAAAACCCACCCCGACCCTCCTGTCATCGCCCGTCGAGATCGAGTTCCCCCATCTCCACAACGTGAGTCTTATGCAAACTATGACACACACACACACACACACACACACACACACCCTCCCCGGGTGTTTGCGCAGCACAGCACACAGAGCCTGACATTTTCCTGACATTTCATACAACCCTGTGACTTTTACCGGTTGAAGCCCGGCAAAGATCACAGCAGCACAAACAAATGGTCACTAAACGATGACGGTGATGATAAATCAGGCGCAGTAATTAGATTACTGGTTTTAGTTTCATGAATGCAGCACAAGATGGGGAGATGAAAAATGTGGGAAAGCTGTTGCATCTCACACGTTTGTAGCGAGATGTTCCGTACCTGCTCTTACTGCAGAGAGTCCTGACACTTCCCTCTCCATCTGACTTCTTCTTTGCAGGGCACAGTCAATGAAACATGCCTCTCATGGGATGAAAGTGACACGTAAGTGTTTTTTTTTTGTTTGTTTGGTTTTTTTGCTTCTTAATTTCACATCTGATCATCAGTCATGTTTGTTGATTTGATGCTACTTGTTTATCTTCATGTTTCTGGACATTTTTGAGTTGTGCATCTGCTCCAGTGTGGCCCTTTAATGGCAAAGCAACAACTTTTCATCCCTTTGTTATGTCAATTATGACAAGAGAGACAGAAGGAAATCCTTCATGTTGACCCATCTCCTCCAAAAATTACCTGGACATGTCAGCACAACCTCTCCTGACACATTTGAAGGTTTACTAAAACTTGCATGCATGTGCAGGACCGGTAGGAGATGAAAACCCACTCTAGTCAAATTAGATACGTTTTGGAAAGCAGGTGTGAATAATGGCAGGATAAAGATGGAGGTTAGAGGTCAGAGCACTCCGATCTTCATTACTAAACAGTCATACATAAACATGCCATCCAAGAAAAGTGTCATGCTGCTCTGCAGGCTCCTCAGGCTGCACCTGCTGGCTGGTGCCACCTCCTATATAAAGTTCAGCCTATAAGCCCGAGGGTCCTCCTCTTGTGGCATCTGCTGCAGCAAAACACAATCACAGACTGTTGCAGAAGAAATGATTATAATTCACGCAGACTGTATGATCGCCACCGTCTGGTTCTGCACAGGGAACAGTTTGTCCTTTTTCCTGTTAAATGTGGACAAATGGGGCCAAGTGGTTCTATTTTTAGAGAAACAGGTTAAAGTTAAAAGACAACTATGCATCAAAGAGAATATTCAAAGGAATCCTGAGATGCAAAATGTGTATTTATGTTATTTAACTTCTACGTGTGAGAATCTTATGTTGGATAATCGGTTCTTTTATTTCTACACAAAACATTTCACCACTCGTTTCTAAAATAGCCCCGTTCTGATTGGAGATCAGTCAGATCTCTCCTCTCCTAACTCCTCTCTGCCTGCTCCTCTCCCTTCTCCTGTGCAGTTCCTCTCTCCTCGGGTCTTGGTCTGCTCGGAGCTGCAGAGCGGTGCCCGTTCATTCCTTCAGAACCAAATGCGTGTGTGACAGCCTCTCCACCTTCGCCATTTTAGCACACACCAACTTGGACTCGGTAAGTCATCCATCTGATCGCACTAGGGCTTTATTTTTTCTCCTCTGTCGTGCCTGTTAAGCGTCTCCTGTGTGAGGATGTGGTGCGGTAGGAGCAGGTTGTTGTTTTTTTAGCGCTGTGCAGCAGCTCTGCTTGCCTGCGCGCCTTTGTCTTTGTCCAGGTGCCGCTGAGCGGAGAATCGCAACCAGCGTTTATGCTTTTCTAACACGTTTGTGTGCATGAATCGGGTTTTTAGTAACAGATTAGGAGCTTTCCTCTCGACGGAGCGTTTCTTATTTGACGCTTGGTGCAGGAAAAAGAAGTTCTGCATGAAATAGATTGCTTTATTTTGTGAAGGATTTTTTTCTTTAATGGACAACAAATCATGTCAATTTTATTGCAAATTGAGTTCTGATCTGCATTTAAATTCTGATCTTGCATTTTTTAATCCTAAATATTTCATGATAGATTAGCAGAACAAGCTCGCACGTTGGTGATTAAAAAATAATCTATCTTTTTCATGCACAAAAAAATTATTTTCCTCCTTATGAAGCCTCGAAAGCTGATGGTTGTCCAGTTGCTATGGTAACGGCATCTGTAGTGCTGGTGTAATTTTTTTTTAATAACTGAGATCCTGAGGGTTAAAACCTCACATCCCTCCCCCTCCTTCTGTTTCTTTTATTCCCCTCTGACCAGCCTCTAAACACACACACACACACACACACACACACACACACACACACACACACACACCCTGCTGAGATCTGATGGTTTTTTATGTTTTATTTAAATTGGCTTACACGAGTTGTGAGGCACTGCAGTGTTTTTCTGCTGCTGAAGCCTTGATGCGTATTCCCTAAGTTGATGTTTACATCCCAGATTTTATTTGTCTCAACATCGCTCCCCATGGCGATCAAACACCCCACCCCCAACCCCCCTGCAACAGCACAAAGGCAGCTGAGCCAATCATTCCTTCTGCCAATATCTCTGAATTCTCAATTACATACACCCCAGCTCCCCACAACACCACCACCCTCCTCCTCTTTTTGCCTTCCTCTTCTTCGGCCACGGCAGCACAAAGATTTAAGATGCCAGAGAGGCAGACAGATGAGAGACAGACAGGTCATGCACTGATCATGGTTCCTCTCTTCTTCGCTCCTGCCTCTCCACGCTTCCTTTGATGTGAACATTTTTTTTAGTCATGTCTTCCACCCAATTCCTTTGACTACTTTAGGGCGTCTGAACACATTTCTCCATCCTTTACTTGCTCAAAACGAGATCACGTGGTCTGGTCAAGGACAGACTTCATATTTAGGGTGCTCTGAATTTCACTCGGCAGCCAAGGGAACAAGATTCGACCCAGATACGAAGGCCGAGAGAAAAGGGAACACGGCATCAACTGTGTGATGCTCCATATTCTCCATAAATCATGTCAAAGAGACCACTCACGGCTCGGTTGGCCATCTGTGTGAGGCAGCTTCTAATGGGGATTTTTGAAGCAACCCTAACCCTGCGTAGAAATCCTCAGGTCAAAGACATGTTTAAATAGACAGGACTGTCCCTTTAAAATGTAGGGAATGTCCCAAAGTGATAAATCAAACGAAAACCGAAGCGGTTTCTATTCGAGTCCCTTCAACTAGTGCTAATTTGACATCTTCGAGTTTTATTATCCCAGAATGTTTCACTGGTTTCCCATCCGTTCACCCTTTCCGATCCTTATTTCTCGATGAGGGAGCCTTAATGATTGTCATCCAGCTCACACGTTGCGGTGATGACAACAAGATCAGAGGTGTGAGAGTAACTCGATGCCTTGTTAGATCCTGGAGAGTAGGTGTGACACAGCCGAGGATCACACAAGCAGAACAACCAGCGACCACATGCTGGTGGATTATGGAGATGTGTAAGCCATGCAGCAAGGGTGCCGTGAAAGCCTCAAGGAGCTGAGATTTGTGGGCGGAGGACAGAATTGACCCGGCGGCCTTCGGGGTGAACGAGCAGCATGGACGACAGGCAGTAAAACAACCCCCTCCCCTTGTTTATGCCTCCTGAAGTTTGGTGCCGAGGCTGTTTGAAACATGGGGCGGTCACCACCGCTGGCAGTAGCAGGTGCTAAGCTGCTGTCAGAGATCAGCGCTCAGATTAATGCGTAGAAGATAATAGTCCACCTGTTAACCGCCCCCTCCAGGGATCGACAAAAAGCTGCCAGGTTGGCACGACTGCACCAAAATTGGGAGCAAACAGGAGGAAAGGGGGCTGAAGGAAGCATCACATAGCTGGGAGAGCTGTTGCAGCTCAGACAAATGACTGAAAAACATCCGCACTTCCTCTTTACGCCATTTGGCGACTCAAATCTTTATAAATGAACGCAGCAACCATTCGTTAGTTCACCGTTTTATCTGTTTGACACGCTCACCTTGAGGTCACCTTGCCCGAGCTGTGGCCTGATTGTGCCATTCAGCTGTTTGCCTTCAGGGAGCTGTCTGCTTTCCCAGATAGCACACATCTACCCTAGTGCGTGTGTGTGTGTGTGTGTGTGTGCGTGTGTGTGTGTGTGTTTAACAGGGGTGTGCATGATTCTCTCTGCTGGTTTGCCTTCTGCATGACTGTCTATGTGTTGGTAATCGTTGCTAAGAGGCGTTGTTGGTCTTGTCTTCCCTCTGCAGGTCATGGACAAGCAACTGCTCCCGTCCGTGACTCTCATCGTCGGCTGTGGGGTCTCTTCTCTCACCTTGCTGCTCCTCATCATCATCTACGTCTCCGTTTGGAAGTAAGTCGCCCCACGAGCGAAGTCCGGCAGCCGTTTTGGACCCTAATATTATGTGATAATATCCTGTGGTACCTTCCTTCTGCTGAGGTCTAAACTCCTCTCTCTTCTTTTCAAAAATTCCAGGTACATTCGCTCAGAGCGTTCAGTTATCCTCATCAACTTCTGCCTCTCCATCATATGCTCAAATGCCCTCATTCTTGTTGGACAAACTCAGGCTCGCAACAAGGTAAGCCAACCCAAAACCTTTGATTTTTTTTTCCTACTTTTACCAAATCTTTGGTTACTTAGAGGCTGAGTCCTCACCTTCTCTTCTTCGTCTTGGATCCCACAGGTGGTGTGCACTCTCGTAGCGGCTCTCCTCCACTTCTTTTTCCTCTCCTCTTTCTGCTGGGTGCTGACTGAAGCTTGGCAGTCCTACATGGCTGTCACTGGTCGTCTGCGCAACCGCATCATCCGCAAGCGCTTCTTGTGCTTGGGCTGGGGTAAGAGGACAAGGCTTCCCAATGCACTTTTGAAAATTTACAATGAGTGATTTCATTTTCTAATCTTTAATCCTTTTTTCTGCCTTGCAGGCCTTCCTGCTCTGGTAGTGGCCATCTCTGTTGGTTTCACCAAAGCTAAGGGATACGGCACCGTCAGCTAGTACGTTCACTCGTATATTTAGGATCTTTTCCTGTTTTTCATTTGAAATTTTCTAGAAAACTCGAGTATTTACATCATTATTCCTTCTCTTTCTCAGCTGCTGGCTGTCTCTTGAGGGCGGGCTCCTCTACTCCTTCGTCGGCCCAGCTGCAGCTGTTGTTTTGGTTCGTATTCTGAATTTGTTTTTAATTCAACAAAGAACAAAGTCTGCCTTAAATCCCATCGTTACATCGTTTAATCAACATTTGTATTCTTCAAACAGGTGAACATGGTCATTGGTATTCTCGTCTTCAACAAGCTCGTTTCTAAGGACGGCATCACCGATGTGAAACTGAAGGAAAGAGCTGGGTAGGTCTGCACATTGGAGTATCGTGCTTATCGCCCGCATCGGCGGTCGTTGCAGCTTCACTGATCTCGTGCTTTGATCATTGAGCCTGACAGTTGAACAAGGAGCAGTTTTGACTAATCTCTCGCTTCCTCCACCCTGCAGGGCATCGCTGTGGAGCTCCTGCGTGGTCCTGCCTCTCCTGGCTCTCACCTGGATGTCCGCTGTCCTGGCCATCACAGACCGCCGCTCTGCCCTCTTTCAGATCCTTTTTGCCGTCTTCGATTCTCTGGAGGGTTTCATCATCGTCATGGTGCACTGCATCCTGCGCAGAGAGGTGGGGTTTAAAAGACCGATTTAGTTGTCTTCCATCGGGTTTCGTAAACCAGAACATGGTTAATAATTTCCCGAATTCTTTATCGACCTTTAGGTTCAGGAGGCTGTGAAGTGCAGAGTGGTTGACCGCAAAGACGATGGAAATGGAGACTCTGGCAGTTCTCATCACAATGGCCACCCCCAGCATATGGTACATTTTTTTGGCTGATTGCCTTTTTAATGTATTGAGTGCTTCTTGCATTTATTCTTAAAAGGATGTGTGCATGCATTAAGTGCACTGACTGAAGGCTTCTTGTTCTTTTATCCTCAGTCTGATCATGAAAAGGACGGAGACTCAAGCAGACAAGGTAAGCCCCCATTTACGGAAACCTTCCTCTCTTGCCTTAGACCGTTTCTTTTTTCATTTGCGTTTCAAATTTGCACTCAAGCATCTGATCGAAGATAAAACAGAACGCATTCATCGATACGGCGTGGTTTATTATCATTTTAACTCTATTATGATTTTCTTCCTCTAAGGAATGAAGAGCTCTTCTGAAGAGAAGATGCTTCCTCCTCAGCAGCCTCTTCCCATGGGCTCCAACTTCCACACCCTGCCATCCAAGGGCAGCCACATGCAGGCTGTCCCTGAGTACTCCAGCCACACGCTGACCCTGAAGAGGGAGAAAAGCCGGCTGGCCGGAGGAGTCGACCCATCCTGCGGAAAACCCGTGTACGTCTGCGAGGGGGAGCTCTTCCAGCAGCTGGATGCGGATCTGGCCCTGGCTCAGGCCGAAGGCAGCCTCTCTGATGGCAGCGGCTACGTCGTCATGCCCAACACCACATCCACCTTGAGGTCCAAGCCCAAGGATGACCCGACAAAATACAACATCAACGTAGAGCAGCTGCCACAGGCCAGACTCATGCACCTCGGCGGGCCTTTCGCAGAGCCCCAGGCCGCTTTTGGGATGTCGTCGATCCCTCCCGACCAGGTCAGCGTGTCGTATTCGGAGAGAGACTCTCCGATCCAGAACATCCACAACATGTCCAGCGAATCTCACATCACCCACAGCAGCTTGGAGAACACCTTCGAGTCCATGAACTCAATGATGTCCAAGAGCGAGACCATCTCCACTCTGTCCATGAGCTCCTTGGAGGTAAAAAAACAGATCCCATTATTTATCTATATTTTATTCTTTCAGGATTTTTCTACCACGAACGTCAATCTAACAACGATTGTTTTCTTCTTTTTCCTTTGCAGAGACAGAAATCTCGTTACGCCGATTTGGACTTTGAGGTGAGCACCGTTTGCTTTACTCTCCTCGATCAAACTTTTAAAGGATGCATCTTTCATGCACCTCAGCAAGCACTGACCGAGGAACGCTTTTATTCCTCCTGCAGAAAATAATGCACACCAAGAAACGCCACCAGAACATGTTCCAGGACCTCAACAGGAAGATGCATCACGTCGAGAAAGACAGAGAGTCTCCTGCTTCTGACAGCAAGGTAAACACTCCGTCGTGAAAAGGGGCTCATCATCTGTTCCCACTGACACTCATTTTCAGGAGATGATTTAAAAAAAAGAGGCAAAAATATGAAAAAAATCTGAAAGAAAGAAGTAAAAATGACCTTAAAATCGAAGTGCAACATAGTGTTGCGAGCTATGATTGTCAGTAGCCGGAGGTCATTTGAACAAGGATGTATTTTCTTCCTTCTTACAGTCTGTGAGATGGAGTGTGTCTTCTGGAGGAAGTGACAAAACAAACCACAGCGTGAGTGTTTGTTTACAACCTCACCCTCTCAAAGTTCATTCCCCGTAGAAAAGAGACACACCTTTAGCTATTGCCTCCAGAACAGCTGACTTATTCTCACCACCTTCATCCTCTTTAAATCAGAAATTGCTCCATGCTGATGAGTGACACAAGTCCTAAATTGCCTTTTCTTTTTTAATCAACAGGATAAGCAGCAGGCTCCAATGGAGAGACCATGGGAAGGAGTCCGGGGAATACCCCAGTCACCCCCTGCATGGGTGCGGAAAGATCTGGAGCCCCTAGCCTCCTCGCCTCTGGAGCTTCACTCTGTGGAGTGGGAGAAGACGAGCACCACCATCCCCTTGGTGGGGCAGGACATTATCGACCTGCAAACAGAGGTCTGAGGAGGAGGAAGGAGGCTGCTGAAGCCACCTGATTTCACCTCAGTCACCTCTTTTGGTTTGGGAATAGCATCCTTCAACGGAGAGGGTAGAGAAACCAAAAAAGGGTGGAGAGTAGGTCCCAGAATCATTGTCTTCAAACCCTCAACCAGAGCAAGAAAGGGAGAGAGGGAATGAGAGTGGGAGTGCTGGAGATGTTTAATGTAGCTTCTCTGTGTGGACTCTGAAAGGTCAGAAAGGGTTAATGGAGCGATCCGTGGCGTCCATGGACCGGGACTGTCTGTGGCTCCATTCATGCTTCACTGGGAGATTCCTGAACCCTGCAGCGTGGGTTTCAGAAGATGTGCTCGACGTGTCCGTGCTTCTTTCGCTCCTTCAAAGCAACTTTGGAGGAAAATAAGTGACACTGAACTGCTGCGTCCTCCCTGCTTCTCAGGAGGAGCAGCCCAGAACTTCTGGCTGATGTTTCAGCTACGTTACCTTCCAAAACAAAGACAAGGCGAATGAGAAAAAAGGGACTAGTTTCATGCTCCTGTGGTAGATTGGGCACACTTTTAGTTTTTGTGCATCATTTTTGCTTTATTTTGAGTCAGAGCAGAAAAGAAGACGTTACCATGATGCTTCTCGCCAATTTTATCACCATAGTTCTTATTTTCTTTAATAATTACTGTTCCTGCTAAACATAAAATACTGAATTTTGGTTTTCTACTTATTTCATTACTGTCAGACTCCGTGTTTACTGTTTTATGTACATGTTTACCAACAAAATGCACCGCAAACAAAAGCATCCGTCACGTGTTGCGAGCCCATGTGGACTGCATCGGGACAAACATGTGGAGTGGTGATGGAGACGGCGGCTTAGTGAACCAACACCAGCACCAGGATGATCACGGACTCTTGCACGGGAAGAGCAGTGCACTCTGGGAAACGCTGGCTGGCACTGGCACGAGGTGCAGGCTCTTCCATGTCGTACATGTGGATTTTAAAAAAGGAGGCCTTTCATCATCGCCCGTTTTGTTTCTCAGCCTTGCAGGACTCTTGGACTGAGCGGAGGCTCCGGGTCCTCGAAACTTCAACACGTTAGTGTTTTTCTGCCATCAGTGTGAAATAGTGCAATATGATGGGCGCTTGATGCTCAAGCAAGACAGATATTACGAGTTTTTTTTCCTACTGAGATTTCAAAACTTTTATACCATCTTCCATATATTTACAGAGCACATAGATGCTTTATGAGAATATTTATAACAAATCTGTAGGAAGGAATTTATTCGTTAGAGATTTGTTTGCAGAACACTCCATATTTGGAGCTCTCTGTGATCAGTAGACAATTGTACTTCTATAACACATTAAATAGAGTGAATGATAGCCTACAGTTATCTCCTATGTGCTTCAGGATATTTGTTATTACTCTGAGCTGAAAGGCGACAGGTAATAGAACCTCATGTCTTCTGTAACGGCGTGTTACTGTAGCCCACCTGTTCCCTTCACCCTGACCCAAAAACCCCCCCTTGAGTTACTGGTATTGAAAACCCTGACTGTATTTTCATGTTTTTTATGTCCCGTTTAACCCGTGTTCATGTACAGTTTTCACAGCACAAAAATGAATGTGACTTCTTTCTAATAAAACAAATCTATATTACATAACATTTGATGTCTTTGATCTTTTATGCACTCAAAAAAAAAACATCGAATTGATTGTTTTTTAGAGTCAAACCGGCAACTTGACTCAGGTTTACCTTTTAAGAGTGTAAAAGCTAAAAAAAGAAAGGATGGATAAGTGAACAGACATTTTGAACCACATGAAGGCTTCAGGCTCACTTACCTAAATATAGATGGGATTTGAAGGTACATTCAAAAGGAATCACTTAGATGATAAAAGTGTTCTATTTCCATCTTAGCAGAGCAAATCAGAAACAAAAAGAAGCCATTAAGTTGAGTAATGAGAAAACAAAATTCGACAGAAACCGATTTAAATATAGCCGGGCCGTTACTTCAGGTTCAATATCGCCTTCCTGCATTCTGTTCTCCATTTAATCCGTTTTTTTCTTTGTTTTAATTTGAACCACAATTTTGCTGCAATGCATGAAAAAAATGAGATTTACATGATCCATTTGTGCAGCGCTGCTCATTTCTGAGGTCACCTGGAGAGCAGGCGAGCCACAGCGCAAATGGTTGTTGCTTCACTGCCTTATTACATAGAGAGCGCCATTTTCTTCTGGGCTCTGCTTTTTTTTTTTTTTTTGAACATTTTGTGCTAATTTATTCTCTCAGCACAAGGCATCGCTGTGAATATCTGTGCAGCCTGCTAATGATGATGGTGAAGATGATGCAGGGAACTAATGTTGGAGGGAGTTTTTGCAGCTTTTACGAGCTGTGATGTCTTGAGCCACTGATTGATGCAATCGGAGAGGAAAAGAACAGAACAGAATGGCCGAAAAATGAACAGGGAGGTTTAAAAGGGGACAGTTCTGGTATGTTTGGGTAAATGTCATGCATTTTTCAGGATTTGTGGTGAATCTTTATATAAATGACTGATACATTTAAAAAATCTATTATTTCCTCATATTTTACTTTATGAGAAAACAGCTAATTGGCTGTGCCTTTAAAGTCAGACTAATTACAAGCAGATGCATAAAATTTCCACCTTTTTGTGCCTAAAAAATGAAATCTTAAACACACACATCCCATCTCACCCTTCGTCTGATACGAAATCCAGTTTCAATTAGCACCTCGCTGGAAAACAGCGAGAATAAATCCATCTCTTAATTGCGGGCTGTCGCCATGGAAACATCAGGTGTTAATGATCAAGATGTGAGAAAAAAAAGAAGTGCTTCCAACTCCCGAAGAGTAACTTGAGGGCAAAAATAAAAAATGTAAATGCGGGATCAGATTTTCGCTGATCTGTTTGGAATAATCGTTCATTTTTGGGTTTTTTGCTTTACCTTATGTTTGTCCTCAGAAATCTATCAGCACAACAAGCTAAGTATGTAGTGATGCTGTTCTGCAAGGATAAATATGCTCCGGCGCCCCAGAGGCTGTCACGCGAGGGTACACAGGAATAAACCCAAATGCAGGAGACAGGATGACCAGATCCGATACTGATTACTTTTAATAACAAAAAGTCACCACATACGTGGGAAAAGGACTTCACGGGTAATACAAAACAAAACTACCACAGACTCGAAACAAAGCTATGCTCTAGACACCAGAAACTCTTCACAACAACGCCACACCATGCACAGGAAGCAGCTTCTTAAATACATGGTGTGGCAATCAGGAAATTGCAGTCAGCTGCGGCATTCCCCGATGCTCCAAAGAGGGGCAGGAACAGCAGGAAGAGCCACAGCCAACCTACACAGAGAAAGAAAAACACGCATTACAACAATCAGGAGGAGTAACCCATAACATAACCCCCCTCACAAGGTCTGGCTTCCAGACGGACGACGAGGCTGATCAGGGTTGTCCCGGTGAAACCGGGTGATCAGGTCACGGCACAGGACGTGGCGTTAGGGGACCCACTGGCGGTCCGCCGGGCCGTAACCCTCCCAATCCACCAGGTACTGGATGCCCCGACCCACCCTCCGAGAGGCCAGGAGCTTGTTCACCTTGAAGACCGGGCCACCTTCCACAAGGCGAGGAGCAGGCGGAGCCGCAGTGGGCGGATGCAAGGGGCTAGTCACAAAGGGCTTAAGCTTGCTCACGTGGAAAACAGGGTGGATCCGCAGGGAGCGAGGAAGGTCCAACCTGACCGCCACCGGGTTGATGACCCTGGACACTGAATAGGGGCCGATGTACCGAGGAAGGAGCTTTCTCAAACCCCCTTTCAATGGCACATCTGTCGAGGCAAGCCAAACCTTGTCTCCCACCTTGTAGTCGGGTGCGGCTGATCTCCGACGGTTCGCCACTGCGGTGAACCGTTCCTGATTCTGGACCAGACGAGAGCGGTAATCCACCCAAGTGCGCCGACAGCGTCGTACAAACGCGGCGGGGCCGGAGGCCGATGCAGTCCTCTCCTGATGGGGGAAAAGTGGGGGCTGATAACCATAGGCAGCCTGAAAAGGGGAGAAACCGGTAGAGTTCACAAGAGAATTATGGGAATATTCTGCTCAAGGGAGCTGTGAGGACCAGGTCGGGGGGTTCTTAGAGCACATAGCTCGTAGGGTGGTCTCCAAGTCCTGATTAAACCGCTCCACTTGCCCGTTGGTCTGAGGATGGAAACCAGAACTTAAACTGACCGTTATCCCGAGGAGCTTGCAGAATTCCCTCCAGAATGCTGCCACGAACTGTGGACCCCGATCAGAGGTAATGTTCTCAGGAAGCCCGTGCAGTCGAAACACATGTCGTGCCACTATCTCGGCCAGTTGTTTTGCCGAAGGCAGTTTCTGTAGGGGCACAGCATGAACCAACTTCGAAAACCTGTCCACGATAGTCAGAATGACAGTGTTACCTCTTGAACGGGGCAGACCCGTGATGAAGTCCATGGCTATGTGGGACCATGGTCTTGAGGGGATAGGTAAAGGCTGTAGGAGACCTGCAGCAGGGGTTCTGGGCACTTTAGCACTGGCACACACAGGGCACGAGGAGACGAAAGCTCGTATGTCAGAGGACATGGTGGGCCACCAGAAACGCTGAGCCACCAGGAAGGCGGTCCTTGTCATCCCGGGATGGCAAGCCAGGCGTGACGAGTGCCCCCACTTCAGCACCGCGGGGCGTAGACTCGAAGGTACAAACAAGCAGTTAGGGGGGCATCCATCAGGGATTGGGACCGTGCCTGAAACTGCAGACTTGACCCTACGTTCCAAGGCCCAGCGGTTAGCCCCAAGTACCAGGACAGGAGGAACGATGGTGGTGGTACCCGGGACCTCTGTCGACCTGCAGTCCTGCTGATATTGTCGGGACAAGGCGTCAGGTTTGATGTTTTTGCTGCCAGGGCGATAAGAGAGGGTGAAGTTGAAACGGTCAAAAAACAGAGCCCACCGGGCTTGGCGTGGATTAAGTCGCTTAGCCGTGCGAATGTACTCTAGGTTCTTGTGGTCTGTCCACACCAGAAAAGGCTGTCTTGCACCCTCCAGCCAGTGGCGCCATTCATCAAGGGCTAGCTTAACAGCTAGCAATTCTCTGTTCCCTATGTTGTAGTTTCTCTCTGCAGGATTGAGCTTGCAGGAGAAATACGCGCAGGGATGAACTTTGTTATCAGACGCTCTCTGTGACAACACGGCCCCCACCCCAGACTCAGACGCATCGACCTCCACAATAAACTGTTTGGAGGGGTCAGGCTGTGTCAGGATAGGAGCCGTAGAGAAACGTCTTTTAAGCTCAGTAAAAGCCCTATTGGCTCCAACGTCCCAGACAAAACGTACCTGAGCTGAGGTGAGTTTATGGAGAGGTGCAGCCACGCCACTGAACCCTTTGATGAAACGTCTGTAGAAGTTAGCAAACCCCAAGAAGCGCTGGAGTTGCTTACGATCCGCGGGGACAGGCCAATTGAGAACAGCTTGTACCTTAGCCTCGTCCATCTGCACTGAACCAGGAGAAACCACATGCCCAAGGAACTTGGTTTGTGTTGTGTGGAACTCACATTTCTCCGCCTTGCAGAACAGCTGGTTCTCGAGAAGACGCTGCAATACGGCTCTGACGTGCTGCACATGAGTGTCTCGGTCTGGGGAAAATATCAAGATATCATCCAAATAAACAAACACAAATTTGTTGATCATGTCCTTGAGAACGTCATTTATGAGGCATTGGAAAACTCCTGGCGCATTGGTGAGACCAAACGGCATGACCAAATACTCAAAATGGCTATTGGGAGTATTGAAAGCAGTCTTCCACTCATCTCCCTCACGGATACGAACCAAATGGTAAGCGCTCCGCAGGTCCAGCTTTGTGAAGATCTGAGCCCCCCTGAGAAGATCAAAAGCAGACTGTAACAGAGGCAAAGGGTAAGTGTTCCGGACTGTAATACCATTCAGCCCTCTGTAGTCAATGCAGGGCCGTAAGCCCCCATCCCGCTTGCCCACAAAGAAGAATCCCGCCCCAGCTGGCGATGAGGAAGGGCGAATGATCCCAGCCTGCAGGCTCTCCTGTAGGTACTCCTCCATGGCCGCACGCTCAGGGATGGCGAGGGGGTAGATGTGGCCCTTAGGAGGCTGCGTTCCAGGCAGGAGGTCAATGGCGCAGTCAGAAGGACGATGAGGGGGCAGGGCCTTGGCTCGCACCTTGCAAAACACAGCGGCCAAGTCTGCATACTCGGGGGGCACCGAACTTAAGTCTGGAGGTTCAACAGGAGGGTTAGAGACAGAGGAGCGTGTAGCAGCAGCCGTTAAACAGTTCAGCAAACAGAAAGAGCTCCAGGAGAGCACACGGCCTGAACACCAGTCAATGTGAGGAGAATGTTTACACAACCAAGGAAAACCTAAAATAACCGGAGGCCTCAGGGAATCCACTACATAAAAATCCATAAGTTCAGAATGGTTTCCAGAAACAGTTACCTTAATAGGAACCGTGCGTGCTGTTACTCTGTGGATGATGGAACCGTTTATGGCACGGATGAGCAAGGCAGGGGATAAGGGTATTACTGGAATAAAAAGCGCGCTTACCACTTCCTGGGATATCAGATCACCATCTGAACCAGAGTCAATCAAAGT